AGATCCTAGATCCGCCGTTTGACTAAAGTATTCCTGATATCCTTGGGGAGACTCTTCTTGGGGGGGGATGCTCCCCCTGTTTATCGGGGGGGGGGGGGATGCCTGGTCTGGGGCCTTTTTTTTGGTTGAAGTGCCTTTGTCTCTAGTGTCCTTTCGTGTCTCACTTGGGGGTTATTACCTGAGATCCTTTCATATAGGTTGCTCTGTCGCCTTTGAGGTCCCTTGAACTTTAGTTGCGTGATTTCTTCAATTCTACCTTCTACTGGAAGATATTCATTTTCATCCATCTGTGCCGGATGAGTTAGCGAATATTGCCTCGTGTTGTTTGGCCTGGTCAAATCATTGACTCTTGAGATGGCTCTTTGTGGGGGTTCTGGGGGGTTCTGGGGGGTTCTGGGGATGTGGCTGTTCAGTTGAATCTTCTGAATTAAGACGATATTCTTTCGGCAGATAATGCTCCTGTATTTGTCGTGAGACTTCAGCTAATAGGATACGATCTGAAAACCCTCTGTGACTTTGAGGCGTGATTGGGGATCAGATGCTGTTCTGATTTTGGCTTTCGTATTTGCTCGGTGGAGTGGAATCGTTCGGGGATTTTGAGTTACTTTTGTTTTGGAATAGTGATAATAGTGGGAGTTTTGGCTTTTTCGATAATTAATTTAACCGCTAATCTGACTCACAGGATTGTTTGATAAAGTCCTCGTGATATTCCTCTATCTATTGAATGGGGGGTTGTTAGCGTCGTTAGGCTTCATCTGCTTTATAGAGATATAGGTTAGGACGTCGAGACTTGGCGTGTCGGAAGTGTTCGTTGGGCTCGTACTGGTTGCAGTAGCAAGACTCAGTTTATATCGTTCTCTATTATCATCCTTGGTTAGTAGTCTGGATGGGTTTGAGCTTTGATAATGTATTTATATCCGCGTGACGCGGGTTGGGATTCTTCCTGGGCCACCAGTTAAATTTGTCCCCTTTTTGACCTTTTTCCTTATCTTTTATGTACTTTAGATATTAATTGTCTTCTCACTTTGGTCCTTTTTTTAGTAATTAAACAATTTGTTCATTTTTCCATATAT